ACTCAAAAGTAATATATATGACACTTGACGTATACCAGTTTTCATTTCTCTCATTATATTAAGTAATTCTAAGATTAATCAAAATTTAAATTAAAAAAAAAATGGCCCCATAATCTCAGAATTGAAAAATTTTCTATTTCTATTATTTTAATGATCAGCAAAAAACGAAACCAAATTAACTTTGTAGACTAAGGAAGTCAATTATAAGACTAATATAATTAAGTAGCAAAGTTGTCCGTTAAAATAAATAATTTCAATATACATATACATAATTAATACGAGAAAATGGAGAAATAAAATTTACACAATAAATAAACCAAATAAAAAAAAATGGCATTCTTCTAACGTTACACAACGTAAGGTGAAAAAATTTTTCTTTCTTTCTGTTTTTTATATTACTTAAGTATTTGTTAACATTAATAAACACGCTTTTGGCATCAAGCTATCTAATTAATTATATAAAATACCATCAAGCTGAAAATAAGTAAGCAATAATAATAAAAATCATTGAAATTTTTATTAAATTCATAAATAAAAATTAAAAATTAAAATGTGCTTATTAATTTTGTTACGGCGTTCTTTTTATTGCAATTGTGATTTTAAAATCAACACTAGTTTATTCAATAGTTTTATAAGGCGAATGCGTTTCATTTTTTTAATAATAAATTTAAAATTTGATTAATTAAAAACTAGAAATTTGCAATTATCGGAATCGGAATCAATAAAACTCGGAAAAAAATGCACATAAAAATTTCAAGACATCTAGAAATCAGATGAACTGTTGACTTTACGGAATAATATTAGACGAGATTATAATTTAAAAAGTTATTGACTTGTTGTAGACTTCAAATTTTTCATCCGATATATGTATTTAATTTTCAAGATTTTGAGTCTTTTAAAATTAAAAGTAGATTTTTCATTCGGATTAATGAGTCTTAAAGGTCAGTTTTCCTATGTAACGTAAAAATTTCGTTAATAGCGGATAACTTCAAAAAAGAAATTTGATGTTCGGCATATTTTGAAATAAGTATATAAAATGTCAAATTCTCATCTTAATATGTAAAAAATTCGTATATTGAATTCGTTAATATTAGAGATTGTATTGGCAACTACTTGTACTCTTTGACATATTAATCATATTTTTTCCACGTAAACGCTTATTCACAATATAATAACGCTACGACAAATCCAATTTTAGTATTACAAATTTTGTATATACTTATTTTAATATCTAAACTTATAATTATTTATGAGTAGAAATAAAAAACACTAACTATACTTAACGTATATTATTCAATTGAAAAGCAAAAGTAAAAAATTAAAAATATTAATAAAGTACTTTGACAGTTCAATTCCAGTACAATAAAAATTTTTAACGCCTCAATTAAAGAAAAGCGTAAGCGTAAAGCGTTTTTAAGAAATATGCAAATTTTTCTTTTTATTCTTACTTATATACTTTGTATTACGCTAATTTATGTACGCATTGCAATTTTTAATAATAAAAAATGAAATTATTCTATATCAGAATTGAAATATAAACAAGACTATTACAGAATTAAGTCTAAGGTATAAGAAAATTTACTATTATTTCAAATGAATTCTAAATCCATTTATGGAAAACTAAGCAATACTTACATACATATATACAAATTACAATTCCAAAAAGATTTTTTTTCTATTCTGTTTTTTATTTATTTTTTTTAACTAATTTGCATCAAATCATTTCGTTTAAAAAAGTGAAAAAAAAAGCAAATGACTCTGAGTCATAAAAGATCATAATATAAAAGAAAAACTTAAAATAAATAAAATAAAAGTGAATTGTTGGATGCTATTAATGTGTGCCATTTTCATTTTAATTTCATGAACACAACAATAAACAAATGGAAAAAAGGAGGAGAACAATTTAAACTTTGAAATCCAAATTAAAAAAATAAAATGAAGAAGAAAAAGAATCGGCATTAAATAAATTCAGTTTGATAACAAAAAAAAAAAAGAAAAGTAAAACGACAATAAAAAAACACAAAAAAAAATTAACAAAAGGCTATAAAATTTTTTTCAAAGCTCCATTGACAACGACAGAGAGCAGCACACTTTCTAAGTAAAAAAGAAATCCAAATATAAAGAAAAATTCTTTTTTTTTTTTTTAATTTTTAATTCCCTTTCTGCAGTTAAATATTTAAACAGAATACAAAATAATCAGGGATATTTGGCATTTTAGTGCCATTTACATATAAAGTACAATATTTTTAGTTGCAAAACCTCAATTTGACATATCGATAATCTGGATTTCCTCAAGCAAATTTCAAATGTTGTTAAATAACCGTTTCAAATTAAAATAAATATTAGTTGATTATATTAGATTTAAATTATTAGAATGACAGGATTTGAAATAATTGTACTTTTATTGTGAACAGTGTTGCCAAATAGATTAGCCCTAATCTCTTCATTTTAAATAAAATCTTCACTTCGAAGATTTCGAAAGTGTCACGATTTCAATTCCAAGATTAAAATTAAAGATCAAAAAGAACAACTAATGGCATGCCCAATGACATAGGATGTCATAAGCGCATTTAGAATCAAGTGCGAAGAATATAAAAAACTTTTTGTCATGGAAGTAGAGTTAACAAGCGTAATCCATTAAATTGACTTTTTGATCATTTTTTTTTGTAAATTTTGAAAACACTCTAATTCTGAAAAATTTCAGTAGCATTAAAAATCTTAATTTTGAAGATATTTTTGTAATTAAAATTTAAATATTTTAAAAATCTTATTCTGAAGTTTCGCGCAAAAAATATAACCAAAATACTTTCATTTTGAAGAGAAATTTTCACTTTTAGTAGCGCTGATTGTGATCTGTTATGATATCTCGTCGGCTATTAGTATTGATCTTTTTCTATTATGAAGCCGCCGACGGTTGTCAAATGCTTAAATGAATGCATACTTAATTCGTAAAATGCTACTTACGTTATATTGAATTGAAAATCTGAGCAAATTAATATTAAAATTACAAAAATAACATCTGCAAAATTCTCTGGTTTACTGTACTCTTTCTTATTACGTTGTTTACCACTGGAAAGACGATTTCCGAAACGATTTGTATTGAAAAAATGGCGACAAAAAATGCAAAATTGGCAGAGAGAAAATAAATAATTTACAAAAACAAAAAAGTAAAGAAAAAAAATGGTAAAATAGCTAATAAATTATCACTTAATTTATATTATCGATGATTTCAATTCATTTCTTATACCCAATTCTTCTTTCTATTCATTCACAGAATAATGAAGTTTTAGTGTTGTACAGACTATTTATTAACCATTTTTGTAAAATTGAAAATTGAATATTAGAGAATTTGATAGATTTGAAAAATTAAGTTTTCAATGTGTACAGTACCTGTTAAATTTATTAAATGCTCTTTGATAATTCAAAATTTTTAGTTATCACGAATTTCTTAAATCAAAATCGATCTTCGTTTCTTCAAAAATATATGAAACATAGGAATTTATGAATAACTAAAACTGAAAAAACTTCGCCCTTTTGATGTGATTAAATCGAAAAATTATACAAAATGTCTTCCAGAAGCCAAATTTCAATTGCAATCAAATTACGCAAATTAGTAAAACTAAGCGTCGATTTTAAATATATACACTTGAAGAAATAAAGTACATAAATGAGGCCCCAGCAATGAAAGGTATGATAATTAAAGGTTAGCAAAAATTTTTTACACCCTTTGTTATAATCTGAACTGCTTTTCCTTAACTTTATTTACAAATATTAATTTACTTTCGAGAGTACGTGGCAATTTTTTAAATTGCTATTTCAACTCTTGTTTTGTCCAGTAGCTTTACTGAAAATTAAATCAACGTAGCGTGGGTCAGAAATGAAATAGTTTGATGCTGGCCCAACAGAGCACGGAAAAACGATATTAAAGACTCAAATAAACAATAATGTCGGTGTTCTGTGAAAAATGAAAACGTGAATTTAACCGATCAGAAACTGTTAAACAAAATAGCATAATTTCAAAAATAAAAAGATACGTACATAAATATCACGTAAAACTCATAATTAAATAAAAATTGTTTATTTTTTATACCTGTACGAACGTATATGTTCGAAAGGTATAATAAATTTGTCTTCCGTTTGTAATACCAAGAATTTTGTAAATCCGTCTGTCTCAACGATAACTCAAAAACTAATTGAGTCAGGCTCACCAAATTTGCACAAAACATTTGTAACAGTAAATGTCGAAACCCTATATAAATTAAGAAAAAATTGTTGAAGCTATAATATGGAAAATATACGATTTAGGGCTATTAAGCGTGATTAAAATCATTGAAATTTCTTAAATATTTGTAATAGTTGCCATACAACTTTAAAATGTACTTGGTCATATAACTTAGAAATTGTTAAAACTATACAGTACTAAAATTTTGCAATAACATTTATGGTAAAATGGCCATAATTTTTGGTACAGGCAGTAAAGATATCAAGAGCGATTATGATAACAACCATACAACTTCAAAACTTATTTGGTCCTATATTATGGGAACTATTGAAATTACAACGCTGAAATTTTGCATAAACGAATATGGTAATATGGCCATTTATTTCAATAAAATTTCCTTGCGACAGTGTGAGTGCATGTAGTATATGCAAGCAGTGCCTGGTAAGTACGTATAAAACAAGTACACATATAAAATACCATAGGAATATGTGTCATACAGTGTGGCACAATGTGGTAATTAACATAAAGAACTTAAAATCATTCATTCGCACTGGTATCACACAGCTGAAAGAGTCAACTCTACCTTTTCTTGTTTCATTTACTTTTGCTTTGTTTTACTAAAGCACCAAAGCGTTATAAAAATTGAAGCGTTATGAATGTTAAGAAAATTGAAAATAAAATGAAAAAAAAAAAAACAAAAATAATTAAAATTGATTCCCTCCTTTTCTCTACAATAGTTTTTTAATAATTTTTTTTTTTTGTTCAAAATAACACTTACCTTGGAATCATAATTAAGTAACTAAGTAAACGTCTAAGGTCTTCCGGTTTTAAACGTTCTCTACGTGGATTTGCCGGAAATAATAATAACGGTCCACCTCTACGATCTCGGCCACCACTTAAATAAACGATACGTTCTTGTAATAAAGATAAAATATCTCTGGCTCGTTCCATTTTGCATGAATTTTTCTTTTTTGTGTATTTTAGATTTTCAATTTTTTATTTTTTGTCTTATGCTATGCTATTTTCTTTTCTAAGTTAACTACTTTACTGTTTTTTTTTTTTGTCCGTACTTAATAATTCAATTCCTCTGATTCCAAATATGAATGAAGTAAAAGTACAATGTGTAAGTGAATAAAGTAAGAGTAGTGATGATTGATTAATAAAATTTCTAAGTTGATGATGATGGGGTAATGATGATAGATTTTTTGTTTTTGATTAGAGTTCTGTTTTTTTTTTTTGTTTTATTTGTTTTTCTATAAGATTCTTAATTTGTAATATCCGAGATTCCAAAATAAATATGTATATGTATGTATGGAAATAAAAATCCTATTGTAATTATATCTGAAATTATAAAGAAAAAAAAACAAAAATAATTAATTATTTTTCATTTCGGAATAATTGAATAAATGCTTAATTTAATTTTAAAATGAATAAATAAATTACAATTATAATTTAATTTAAATTCTTAATTTTAGCATAAATCTTATACTTAGTGAAGTTTACAAGTGATCCAACTTTGAATTAATAAAATTACACTAAAATAATTATTTTGACATTGTTGACACCAATTCAAGAACTTTATAACTTTAAGAGTTCATAAACAAACGTAAAGTCCTTATGAATTATGCAATAAATGCAAAGAGAAGTGATAAAATTGTATTTAATATTAAATTTAAATTTAAATTATTGTTTTTTTTGTCCAACAAAAATTTTTTTTCAATTTAATTTAATTTTGGTGATTTTAAGTACGAAATCAAAGGCCAGATTCTGAGAAGCAAATCTCTAAGCGAATTTGATGTCATAATAATTTTGAAAAATTTTGCAATACTTAAACATGAACCGTTAAGATAATCACATTTAACTTTGTGCAATTTTCCCGAATGATTTCTATCTCAGAAATTACTCACATACTTACTTATCGGAATTTGGCATTGCCACATAATGATCGATACAAAAATCCTCATTTGTACTCCCCTTCATCAAAATCAAAATCGAAATTCATATTACAAAGCTTATGTGAGTAGTTAGGAATAATTGCGCTAACATTTATGCTTATAGATGGCTTTTATATCATTATTAGGAAATTAAATGTCAAAATCTTGACATTAGATTTTATAAGTTAGTTTTTAAATTACTAACAAGAGAAATTTTTAAATTATTAACATAAAAGAATTTTCATACAGAAAATCACTATAATATGAACATAAAATTCTTATGTGGCATCCATATTAAACCGCAGACAACCACAACGATCAACTAATAAGTATTTCAAAAAAGAGAATGGGCAATGAGAAAATCACTAAGTTTTTATGACATTTTTTACCATATATTTAAATTAAAGAATTAGAACTTCAAATTCCAAAAAAGATTAATAACTTCTGTTTTCAAAATGTTCATTAATTTCTCGTGTTCTTAAAATTTCAAGTTAAAACGCTTACTCCTTTATAATTTTATTACACACTAACACAAAAAAAATATTTAATTTAAAATACAAATTTTATGCTTTTTCTTCCGAAAATCTCATACTTTCATCCCTTTCATTATTACTTTTGTATAAAATTCTTATAAAATTTTTATATTTTTGTTATGAAAGCAAAATATTTCGAATCAGAGACTGAGGCGAGAATATTTCACAATCATTACCAGTAAAACGCCATAGAATGAACCACCCTTAAAACAAATTTATCTGTATAGAAAATAATTATTAAGTATATGAAGTCAGCAAAGTTTACAATTTAATATTTAGATTTAAGTGATTCGTTTTACAGAAGCTTTACTGTATTTAACATTTTAACAAATACTAAGTGTGAATTTTTTTAGTGACCAATTAAATTCACGTTTTGCATATGTCACTTCATTTGCGAAATCATACAATGGAACATCTCTAGATAATTTTCTTTTGGAATTCATCAAATACATATGTGGTTTAAATCGACTGTCTCGCACATTGATTTGAATTCTGAGTTAATATTTAATGGCTGATGATCACTAACTAAGATCACCATACATTGGAGTAATTCACTCGTATTTTTATTCCCTATATAAGTATATCACTTTAAATTCAAAAACCAAACACATAAAAATTCATCCTATAAATCAAATTTATCTTCTTTATATCAAAAATATTTTTTTTATATGCACCTTCTTTGAACTAAGTAACATAATTATTGATTAAAACACATATAACATCCTGACACTGAATATATAATTGTATCTTATCAAATGTAGATTTATCTGTAGGGAGGAAAATTTGTATAAGTAATAACCTCGCGAATATAAAAAAAAATTTATGGGGAAAAAAGGTATTAGTAAGCAAGAAAAAAAACGTTATACCAACGCTGTTATTCACATACTTAATGTATAAAATATTTTGTATATATATGTATGTATGTATATATATACACATACATATATACTTAACTTTTTTAAGCATTATTTATGAGACTAAAATTTTATATAGTTGCACAAATTTTATAGGGGTCGCGGTATTTAAATACATACAAATTTTTTATTTATTTTATAATATTCACCTAGGTAAAAATTTACTGTTAAGTTCTTATATTAACAAATAAAATAAGAATACAAAATTACAAGCATACAAACTTAAACTACTTTTGAAAAACATTTTTTTTTTATGTTTTCTTAACAATGTTTGAATACCTTGTGGTTTCATTTCTCATTCTTAAATTTTTCGTTCGCAAAAAAAAAATAAAGTTTTACACAATAAAGATTTTGTAATTTTTTACAAAAACAAGAAAAAAAAAATTTAAAAATATTAAAATTATCCTTGTTGTGAACGAAAAAGTAAAAGAAAAGGAAAAATTTGTTGTTAGTAGGGAAGTAGAATATTGTTCTTAAACCGTTATTAAGATTTAAAAATATGTAAGTAAAGTATTTTCCATAAAGATTTCATGATTTTAATTTATGGGTTTTCTATAGATTACTTACTTAAATTTTGTAAGCACGTGTAATAATTTAATAGAATAGTGTAATTTTAAGTAAGTTTCTTTATAAGTTTTTAAGTATATTGAATTAAAATCCTTTATAATTAATAGTTACATAAATAAATCCATGTTGTATAACAGTTGGAGTTCTATAGTTATGAGTGAATTTACCAGCATATTAATCAATACCTAATTTAATGCATACAAATTGTAATTTATAGCTTTATATTTGCCTTTGACATCAAATAATTTAAAAATTATTATTTTAAACAACTATATGCAAGCATATTGCAATTCTTAATGTTGAAGAAGTTTAAATAGAACAAAAATTTTTCTTACTTTTTGACAGCTATTATGAAGTCTATTAAATATTATTATTGGCAAAAACTCAATTGGATAAACTCAGGGTCAAATAAAAGCACACATGTTAGTAGAATCTTAAAATCCAATTTTTAAATTGATATTATTGCTTTCTATCTATATATAAGTTAAAAGTTGAATACTATAAAAAAAAGGACTCAAGCGCATTTCAAATAAAAAATATTTTACCCTGAACACAATTTTTTTTTTTTGAATTTATAACACACAAGTGTATAATGCGATTAAGTATAGGCACTTATATCGGAATTCTAACATTATTAACACTACTTTGAGTTTGACTCGTTTTGGACTTTTCGGGCCGGAGTAATGCAAAATTCATTCTATTTAATTTAATTAAATTGAATAATTTAAAATGAGTGGGAATTTTCAACACAATTAAATTAACAAATATTAATTACTTACAAGTAATTATCAAAGCAGCAAATCCATATTACATAAATTTTTAGTTTCCGGAATTTAAAATTGAGCTCAGCCATAAAATTATTGTCCATAATTAAAATTAATGTGTGGTTTTTAATCAATGATTAATAAAATATTATTAAAAATTCATTAATGACAAAATTCATTTAATCGATATTACAAAAAATAATCATATATAAGTACTTATTAATAAATTTTTCAGAATTTTGCCACATGATTTAACAATTAATTTAATGTTTTCTCTATTAAAAATTCGTTTTTTTATTAATAAATTCTAATTTACTAAATGACTTGGAATATCAATTATTATTATTAATATTCTCGACAATAAAAATTGATTATTTTGTTAATAAGGTGAATAAATATAAGGTAAATAAATAGAAATTGTAAGCAGAGGACTTACAACAAATTATTGATTGCATTTTAAATTGATATGGTATAAGTACGAACACCCTCATGAAGGTAATAATTAAAATAAATGAAAAATTTAAATCCCAGTTTAATTTTTTCAAATACCATAATAGTAGGTTATTATAAATTTTCTGAAAAAAATTATATTTAAAAATTAAACATAACACTTTATAATTAGACAAACACAATGAACTGTAGTAAGTTTACAATATTAAAGTGAATCCAAACTTGTTAATATTAAATCAAATTGTTTTATGTTTGACTAGAGGTTTATTTGTGAAAGAAGAACTAAAACAATGAGCGGCAACGGTGTACGAATTCCGTTGTTAACTTAGAACAAGACCGGAAAAGCACAGTATGAACAGTACTTTACATATTCTTGGAAACAGATAATGTCAAAAATGTCAGCGGTAAAATAGCAATAGCGGGGAAATTCGCGTCGGTAATTTCGCTTGATTCAGGGTAATCCCTGATTACTATTTTACTTATTTTAAATTCCTTCGGAAATGGGTTTCTCTCTGAATTTAGGCATAAATTTATACAATAAGTGTAAATAATATGCTCTTCAACTAATTTTTCATACACAACATTTTTCTATATTCTATACTTACCATGGTTTTCCCCGGCTCAAACACATAGAGTTTAAAATAAGTTAAAACGAGATTTGAAACTCTTACTTACAATCTCGTCCAGTATAAAACTGTTCTTACATCATAAGTAGTATAATCTTTCGAAAAATAAGTATCTCACCTTAGATGACGAAATCAAAGCAACGAGTTAAAAGCAGAAAAATTTAAGAAATTTTCTGTCCGAACTGAACTTGAATCAGAAACCTAGAGCTTTATAGGCTGGTGC